ATCCTGTCACTACCTGGTCTTATAATGAGTCCCTCTCCATCATTCCTGAAGGCTCCCTTTGGGTATTGGAAGGCTGCAATGAGGTCACCCTAAAGCCTTCTCTTTTCCAGGCTTAACAATCCCAATTCTCTGTGTCTTTCCTCATAGGAGAGGTGCTATATCCCTCTGATCATCTTCTTAGCAAGTCTATTAGCTGAATGTAGCTTTCTAAATAATAAAAACATCTCACTATTTTAACAGCACTTAATAAGTTGTTAGTGTGCTTGTACAAAGCCAGCAGCAGTCTCTGAGCTTGGATATGCTACTATTCTAAGAAAACTCATAAAATTAAGCGCGTGTTTGTTGGTGGCCTTGACTATGAGTAAAGGCCATTTGGAAATCACTGGCTTTGGGTCAGCTCTACCTTCTCTGCTTGCGCAGTCGGTTGGGTAATAACACCCACAGAGACAGCGAAGGTAAACAGACCTTGCCAGGTTGACATGTTCTGATACTAGATATCAGTCAAAGCAATAGGAGCTACAGCTGATGGGAACAAAAGCACAGTCATGAATCTGATTTTTTATTGTTTCGAAGTTTTATTGCAGTAGGACCTGAAGATTGTCAACCAGGCAGCCACTATTTTTCAGAACTGCAGTCATGCTGAGAGACATGAAACCAGCCACAACAAAGCTAGGATGAAAGCACTGAACATAAAGTTCATTATTCTCATGGGTGCCTACAGGCAGGTCAATAGGAATTGCATAGGAAGACAGAATTTAAAGAGACTTTCTATACAGGCACAAAATAATGTTTAGATCAGTAAATAAATGAAAACCTCTGTGTGGAAGAGGTCAGTGCAGGTTAGAGAAGAAACATGAATAGTCAAAGTTCCTCCAAAATCCTTTCAAGGTTATAGTTTTCTCACATTTATTTCACTATGACTTACTCCATATCCTTATCATATATATGACCTGAGCTTCTTTCTTAACTTGGGCCATGAGATCCTATTACAAACACACAAAACGCAGACAGAACTGGATTCCAAAGGCCAGGCTCTGCAACAACAGGAATACAGAAAATACTAGCTAAGTCAACCTTACGTATTATTGAGTCCTATGGTGGCAAGGTGTGTGTGGTTTATCCAAATTTTTCCAGTCTTAGGATTTAAGAGAGAAGTGGGGGAAAAAAGTGAACCTGAACCCTGAGCAAGTCTTTTTACGGTCTAATTGTCTGATCTCTCCACTTCAGTCCTTTCAGCAAGCAAATGCTGGCTTTACAGTTTTTTGTGTAGTGTCCAAGGTTACCAAACAGTTGCAACCTGGCTTAAGGTCTTTGTTTCCACAAAATACAGTTTTCAGGAATTGGCCTTAGAAAATGAAACAAATTACTGGACTATAAGAGCAGGAGCAAATAGTTTAGTAAAAAACTTTTTGACATAACCATTTGCCTATATCCTATATGCTCCCTCCTCCACTTTCAGTGATTCCTTTTAGATTACAGGATTTGAGGGCTGCTATGGGAAGAAGTCCTGCATTAATAACAATATGCAGAATATGATTTTATAGTTAAAAGAGGTGAAAGCATACATGGGAAAACATCAAAACAAGAGCACCAATACTAAAAAAGTGATAAAAAAATAAGTGGAAACTACTATTAACATGTATTGAGATACTAATTCATGGATAAAGAGTGGTAGCACTTTTCTGCATTCAGAGACAAAGTCATCTCTATTGAAAATTTCTCAGTTTCATATACCAAGAATCAGTTTGCTAAGAAAAGAATTCAAATGCAAAGAGAAGTAAATATTTTATCTGTGTTTTTCTCTAACTGCAAGCTTTCAAAAAAACTAGTACTTACACTTTCACATTCAGGCTGAGGTATTGGTTGGCAAAATCTAGTTTAAAACAGAATAAATTGTCATGAGAGACTGTAAGGACATTTACATTGTGAACATTTGATTAATGATGACTTAGTGTTATTTGATTAAGAACAGCCATAAGATAAACAAAAATTAATTCTTTGCACTGAAATGGAAATTTGTCTGTGGTTTATACAAGGCAAGCACTGAAGTTCTGAAGTTTCCATGGGTGCCATAAAAAAGTTCATGAAAACAAAAATTTAATTTGGAAATCAGAAAATTTATTTTGTCCTCAAAGTGCAATCAATTGGTAGTGTTACTGTTAGAGCTAGTAAACACTATGAATGTTTTTTTCTTTTTCTTTTTCTAGAATAGACAAAATTCTTATATCAGCACCCAGTATTCTATGAAACAAATACCAATTTCATGGCCCTGCATAAACAGTCCCTTCCATTCAAACTTCAGCTAGAAACATCAGATTAGAAAAATGACTCATGGCTATTCCCATTTGTGAATTCTTGCCTGCTAGTATTTAAATAGTCTAAGAGCTCACCAAATTAATTTGGACTGAAAAAGGTTTATAAATGCAAAATAGTAGGTCTTCCAGAATAATTTCCTGAAGGATTTTTTAAAATTTATTTTTAATACAGTTAAGATTTTCTCTCTTGGTTTATCTTAATGCATGGGAATGCAGTGTGGAATGCAGTGTGGAATAAGAAATCTACCTTCTCATATACCTGAAAAAGAGCTAAACCACATAGCTTGTAGACCACATATTTAACTCCAGAACAGACAGCTCCCAGTGAACAGAAAAGAACTCTCCCCATTTCTCAGTTTTAGATGAAAAAGTTTTTAAACATAGTTTCTTTGCTTTAACCTTCAGATGTGCTGCCAGGGAGTTCTTTGATTATGGGCAGAACAAGACCATTACTAAAGGAGAATTACAACTAAGAAGTGTAAGAAGTTGAGTTCCAGTATCTGAGTTCTTTGATATTCAGCAGACTTTTTTTGGGAGGCTTGTAATGGAAATTTGAATACATACAGTGATATACGTAACATCTCCAGCCCTTTGAATATGAAACATACATCAGAATTTATTAATTATTACTAGAAAAGGGCAAAGCAAGTTGCTTGTCAAAAACTAAGCCATCTTTTTTTACTTTATTTTACATCAGTACCGAACCTAAATAAATTTGGTTTAATTAAAAAAACTTACAGAAAGCCAGCACAACAATGAGATTTTAACAAACAAACAAAACCCCAAATAAAACAAAAGAAACAAAAACCAACAACACAAAAAAGAAAGTTTATTCTTAAGGCTGCTTCATTCCAGCAGTTCAGCTATTGAAAACTGTGTTTGAATTTCCCTTTGAGAATACCTGAATTGAATTTCCAGCTTTGTACAAGTTTCTAATTAGTGCTACGCTTTCCTCCCTGTGAAGTAACTGCCCACTTTAAATCACCTCATCCCTGTTTTCTTCCTCGTAAGCTACCTGTTTTGAGCTTTTTTAAGAGAAGAAATTTAACTTGGGACCAAAGATTCAATGGAAATGCTCTCTCAAAAGAGAGGTCGTTAAGAAGCAGAACCAGCACCATAAACTCAAACTTGATCAAACTCACCAAAACAAACACAGGGATTAAAATCATCTCCCAGTCACAAAGTCAATTCTGTAAACCTCAGATAGTGTAGATAGTTGTGCTGCACTGTTTTCATCTAACCCCATTCCAGGACCAGAGCTTTCCAGGCTAAATAGAAGCAGCCCCACTTTTATTGTTTTCAGGAACCCATTCCAATTATACCCATCCTACAGAAACAGCAGAATCTGACTGCTTTGCCTTGCCATTGATTCAGCATTTACCCCAGACCCTTGCTGCTGTCTCATGGGCCCAGAGAACAGCACATGCCAACACTGAGGCCTGCCAGCTTTAAGCAGTGTGAGCAAGGGGGAGATGCATCTGTCTCTTCTCCCTGCACAGAGTAAGACAATTTAAAGACAGTGGGAGCTGTAACTTCATGCAAGCAACTAAGCAGGGAGTAGCAAATAGCACCTCAGAGTACTTGTGTGCTCTTCCTTGCTTCATTTAATATTGGACAGATTTTCACCAAAGAGCAAGAACAGCATGAGATAACTGTTAATGTATGCTAATTATACAAGTGTGTCCAGTAGTTTAATTAAAGCAGAATGTTTGCAAACATCTCAGTGGACTGCTGAGGGGAAAAAAAAAAAAACCACAAAAAACCAACAAAATAAAAAAACTAACAAGGCTGTGTTTATCCAGAATAAATTATTACTGAGGAGTTTTCTTTAAGGAAAAAAACCCAGATTTTGATTATTTGGCTCTTTTGTGATAAAGAATTTCTAGGAAAGTCAAGCTGAGGTGAAGCCTGAGCTTTTCATAGGCTGTCTATAAAAGCAAGTAATAGGACTGTTACCTGTATTTAATGGAAACTGAACGGAACCCCCAAACCTTGCAGCCTTACTGTGAGAGAAAGATCATCTTCTACCAAGTTCTTTCTCCCTTGTAGCCAGTCTTAACTGCATATCCACATAGGTCTGCACTCAAAGAACAGTCTTGTGCCAAAAAGGCCAAGATGTTAGCTATAAGTAACAATTTATAGTAATAAAAGCTATGATATAAAATTATGAGATGGACGATTCCATAGGTTTTCAAGTACAGAGAAGCAGTGAAATATTTAAACATAAACATTGACACATTTTCTTAGTGCTTGACAAAATAATTTCAACTTCTGGGATCCCCAGTTACTCTCAGCTGCCATTAAACACTGAAATTTAACAGGTATTTGAAACAAAGAGACTGTGATAACATGTAGTGGTAGGTTTTGGCATAAAAGGGAAAAAACTTAACAATTTAGTTAACACCCTTTCTTCATACATCACTGCTTAATCAATAATGGTCTTCAGAAGTAATAAGCAGTGTAACTTTACCTATATTCTGAACCTAAATATGCCCAAACCACAGACTGCCCAAAATCAATATCATGAACTTTGGCCTTGCATTTATAGAGAATTGTTAGTATATCAGATACAAAATACATGCATAGTACATGACAACTCCCTTATGTTTAGGCTTAAATATTTGCACCCAACACAATCACCACCTTATCACAATGTAAATTTGGAATAACACAAGAAGACTTGTCTGTGATCTTAAACATAAAACTTTAATTACTTAGCACATGAAATGAATTATGATTAAAAATCATGCAGATATTCAGACTGCAAAACAAAAGACTTCAAATACAACTGCATGTTTAAAATCTACTCAGTCAAATATCTACTTTGAGGTAAAAATGTAAGAATACACGAAGCAATTATAACCTTAACATAAATAAAAAAGTATTGATATTTTCAGAACAAAATAAACATGGAAAACAACAATTTTTAGCACATATTGGTACAAGAGATACAGGCCACCTATTCTCCTTCAGAGTGTGATCCACTCATCTGATAGAAGTCCAAAAATACTAAAAAACTGCATACTACTAAAGCACAGCAGCCAGTTTCCCCCAGCATAAGACTCCTGCCTGCTTACTGCAGTGTTGGGGCAAGTTTTTTTAAAAAATATGTAATTTCAAAGATGAAGGGGTTTAATTATACAGCTTCCAAACAAGCACTGTGAAAGCTGCACAACCAAATCCCCAGTGAATACTACAAAATACCTTTGGCCAAAATTGCAAATATAAACAACTGAAATTCAGGTCAAAAATACGTGACCAATTAACACATTTATGCTGTCACTTGCATGCACAAAATTAGTCCAGTTCTGTGTTTGTGCACCTCAGTGTATTTTTGTTTGGGGTTAAGTAACTGTTTGTGTAAGAAATCATGCTGTTGCACAGGGTCCAACTGCACACTCAGATTCATGATGACCAGAGGCCTCCTCTAAATCACATCATTTCCCCAGATGACAGTGGTCTCTCACATTTCTCTAACTTTCAAGAAGAAAAAAATTCATATTTATTTTCATCACAAGTAGTACAACTAGAATACAAATAAGAACATTCTATTATAGTGTGCAACAGCTGAGGTTTGCATCTCCTGAACTCATTCACAGCAACAATACAAGGAAAATGACATAAAAACTAGAATATAAATATTATACTACACCATGAAACACTACAAATAGAACGTACAAAAATTATATTAGGGCATTAATTATCTGTAAACCTATTAAAAGAACATCTTAATATTAATACAGTTTTCAAGGTAAACATAACCTACAGTCTAAGTTTTCAAATGGCTGTTTGTCAATGCAGCATAGAACATTTCCATAGTGCAAATCTTACCAACTCTATGAAAGACACTGTCCCCTTCAGAAAAATGCTCCTTTTCCCAACCCCCTCAAAAAAATGAGTCACAAAGTCATATCTCATTTCACATTTAGTATAAGATGTGGTTTGAAACACATTAACATACAGAACCTTAATTTTAACACTGAAAGTAACCTGAATAATATTGAGAAATCAAAATAAAAAAGTTAGATATGTTACAGCTGGAAGACATGAAATCCAAAAATATGATCCCTGGAAAAGAGGAAATAAAAAGACACTGATATCTCCTTTCTTTCATCTGTTGGAAACATATTGTATGACAGTAGAGCAGGGTCCCTATGTTGTACAACAATCACAAGATCACTTTAATTGCTGAAGAATCACAGTGTTAAGTATATCTGCTTCTTGTAGTGTCAAGCTTTCATCTGTTAGCTCTTTATTTGGAAAGGTAGTCACAAGAACAAAATCCGTTGTTGCAAAAGCTGGACGGGACTGGATAATGAAATCTCGAATATGCTTAATCCTGTGAAAAGGATATGGACATGAAAACTCTGTATGATTCCATCTGACATACATCTCTGAGCATTAACATGATCGGAGAACACAAAACCATTAAGCAGACTAAACTACTAAGTAAGTTCTAGATTTCATATTTCTCTTTGATCCAGATTACTAATGATTGTAGCTTACAATTATTTGGTTCTTGCATAAAAAAAATCCCCAGAAAAATTATAGTGAATGGTGCTTGTTTTCTCAAATAACAGAAACAAAATTTTTAACATGGAAGCATACTGTGAACTGATACCTAAACAGAGGAAGTCGAATAATCTCAATATCACTGTCAAAAGTTTCATTATTAATTAGTATATTCCAAAAAGATGAAATCATTAATGGAAGAAGATCTTAAAATATATAGTGACAGGGAGGAGGAAGCAGACAGGAATTATTAATGCACTTCAATAGCAAGAGCTTTCCCCTATTTTCACTTGGCAGTGAACTTCTTAACAACCGTTAATAAAACAGTCACATAAACAATATAACAAGGATAATTTAATTTTTAAGACATGGACAAAAAATAATATTTTAGAGATAAAATCCTGAAATTTGAGGTTTTTCTATTAAGACATTAAGCTGAGAATAAATCTGTGAAGCTCTTTTGCAATTAATAAGCTGGCAAATTTACTGTAGCCAAATAAGAAGTGATTTCTGCTTTCTATCAGTCTTCAAGGCCTTTGACATAAGTAATGCACTTTGCCATATATATGATCAAAATCAGCTGCTAAAGATAATCATAAAGATTCACAGTCAAGAAAAAGTTAATAATAATTAAACAATCTCCTGTCAACACAATCTAGGTTGTTACAGATGTTACTGGCAAGCTTACCACTTCTACCCCTCCATGCAAACAGAAGAACACACAACTCAGCTACAGAGGCTCCCAATAAGCCCCATGGTTTGTATCAGTCACTTCTCAGCAGATGCGGAGAAGAAAGGATCTCGGCCTGCACTCTCAGCATGTATTATCAAAAATATAATAAACTATATTAAATAAACTATCAAAAAATACTGCTGTATCTTCCTCCATACTGGTATCTCAGCGAAAATGTCCTCACTGTGGTCTGTGTAAACTGCCAAGTAAAGAAAGCTACACTTTGTCCTTATTCTGAGCCAGGAGGAAAAAAGGAAACAGATGAGCTCTCCATGTAGCAATATTAACATGGAATTGGGTCCATGTACACCACTTCCAAGTCCAGATTCAAGCTGCAGCCATGTTCTAACACAATAGTGCAGATTTCAAATTAAGGCTGGCTTTAACAGTGCTAAAGCATGGGTGGAAATGTCCTCTGCCCAAAGATCTCCCAGCAGTGGAGAGCAGAGCTTTGCAGAACCTTGCACTAACATAACCTCATGGGGTTGGCCAACACTGTTTGTGGCACTGCCCCAACATCAATAAAACCGGTGCCAAGCTCTAATAAGCAAAGCTACTAACAAATCTAAAATGTCCATCAAGCTCACACACTGCCAATTCTTAGTAGATGACCATCCAAAACAGAAGTTAGCTCTCAGTATTATGTCCAACCCACATGCTGAAATTGCAAATGAGCACAAAATGTCTACATAACCTTCTGCATATGGGCTGCAGTCTACACTTACAGACCGTGTCATGTTTTGTCACAGCCTTAAGTATAACAAGGTAGAAAGCTGAAATTCTTGATTATGGGCCACAGGATTTCTCTGCCCATAGTGTAGACTATATTCCAATTGAGACTATACTCCACACTTCACAATAAAGTGCTTTCACAGTGTTTCCCAAGTCATCCACCTGGTCCTCCCAAGGAGGGCCCAGGGCTGGGATGACTACATGGTGGGGCTATACAGATTTCAGTTGCCCTGGGAACAATTACGGCCTCTCCTACGTCCTTAAAAAACAAAGGACATAATTGGTTATAAAAGTTTGAACAGAAATTGCAGTTATCAAATATATTGTGTTTCCAAGTACAGAATTTCTGATAGTTTATCATATATCCATGTAATGAAAGTGACACAGAACGATACATTTCAGCAAGGCTGGTATTTCCCCCTTTTTGACGTTTTGCTGAGACTCATTTAACAACAAAACACAAACTTATTGAAAGTTACTGTTACCTGCATTGATGCAGAATCAATTTACCTGTGTGTTTGATTAAATCTTTGTATTAACCGGCTTCCATCTGCTAATCTAATTTGAATTTTAGTTGCTGGCATGGAATCATCAATCAGAACAGGTTCATTAAGAATGGATTTCTCCTCCTCCTCTGGGGAAGAAGGTGTGCTGACTATTTCAGGTGTAAGGCTATAGGATTGAAAAAAAAAACAAACCAGATGTTACTAATGGAACCATGACAAAGTAGTCTGAAATTTTCAGTCATAGGAATGAAACAGCATATGAATACAGAGCACAGAACATATCAGCTTTCTTCACCTTCCAAGTTTTTGCCCTTCACCACTGAAAGCTTTGAATCGCAGTCTGGGCTTCACATATTCCTGTTCTTGGTGATCTTCCATATCCAAATTTACCTGGCCACCATGAACAAGTCGCTGCAGTTCCAAAGGAATTTCCCTGAATTACAAAAATAATACATTACAATAATTACACTTTCAATTACATTCTGAACTGCAAAAAGAAATCATCCAAAAACTACACACACAGGAGGAGTCAATATTAATATTATGTATACTTTGAAAGTCATATTCAATTGTTTTATGAATTGATTTCATCCTAAAAGAAGAAAAAAAAAAACAGTGAACAGTCAAAACCTAGAATATACTGACAACTGAATCACAGAATGAGCTAGGAAAAAAGTGTGAATATAAAAGCTGTTGTAACAAGTACCATTCAGAGTTAAACCATCAAAAGAACCAAAGTATTGCAAATTTTTAAGTGTCCCATGCATCTGGTGACAAATACAGACTATATTTTATGGGTTCAGGCAAAGAAGAAGTCTGGAGCTTTTGATAAGTATGTGGAGAAAGGATTTTTCTTCACCTCACTTCACAGACATACCTCAAAAAAGTTGTCATTTAAACTTACCCTCTTTTAACTGACTCAAGAAATTGAGCATTTGTTGGATCTGAATAGGATCTCAACTCGCCATCGTCTAAACTGAATCCATTCCTCCACAGTTTCAGCAAAATTTGAACCTATGAAGTAAAACAAGTTTAAAAAAAGTGAAGAAAGACAAATAAGGCAGCACAATTTTGCACAGACTAGTTATAGAAATTTTGATCTACACTAAACAGATTTTGTACAAGACCACAAAACAAGAAGGCAAATGACAAAAGAAGAACAATACCTTGCACTGTAACTGTCATTGTTAGATTATTTTTTAAAAAGCCCAATAGTTATAGACTACTTTCTTTTTCTAGACCACTTTCCTGCCTTGGGAAAAAGAATCTCTTAATGTGCTATCCATGACAGTATGATACAGTGAGGGTATAGTGATCTTCATAGTGTCCCAATTATTTCCAAAAGCAGTAAACATTTTTATTGAGAAATTAAGAAATAAACCCATAAAATTACAAATTACTGCTGATACATCAGTTACAGAAAAACCTACACTTTCCTCAAATTATTACATGCTGAGCTCCAACAAAGCTGAAAGTAGCTCCATTCAGATCAAAAGCTAAGAATCCTGGAAACCAGCCTCCTTTGCTCCCTTCTTATTTTGCTACATCCTACATGAAAGGTCCAGCCAGCGCCTTCCAGTTAAAAACCTGCATCCTCTCTTCCTTCTAAGTGCTTTACCATCTAGCAAAACTAGGCTTTCCCAGCCAGTATAACCGGCCTTCCCTTAGAAAACTATTTATGCTTCCAATTACAGAAAGCCCACTCCAGAAAGATTCTGGCTGGGTACAGCTGGCTGTTACTTGGAGTAGAAGGATTCCTGGAGACTAGAAGGCTCCTTGTGTGACACAACAGCACCCCCTAGCCAGGACCACATCCTCTGGCCTTAGTATTTGTTTCTAGACAAGCTGAAAATTTGCTTTAGCCATCCACAAAAATAGCGAAGTGCAGAGAACTTCTTTTCTCCTCACCCTCTCCTTCACATCCTGCTTTTTAAGGGATGGGAAAGAAAGACCTCAAGCCTGCTGCTTCACCTTCCCTAGGACACATCCATGCCATCCAGTTTGAGATGGGCTACTTTGCAAGCCACAAGAAGAATCAATTTCTAAAACCATTAAAATGTTAGCACAGCTAAGAGAACCCAGGACAACACCTAGTGGAAAGTAACTGAAAAGGAGGTGTGCTAAGAATTTCAAAGTAATTTACATCTGACAGTTCGATCATGGAGGCCTTAGGGGTATCCAAATAAACATCTCTTCGGAAACTTCAACAATTTCTACTGAACATGTAGCTAATATTTAGCTATTATTTTCTCCTCATAAACATAGTTTCAGTAATACTGGCATTTCAAGCTGCAAACATTATTAAGCAGGCCTCTGTTGGAGGTTCTCTTTTCTGCTATGAATTTTACTTACATCCTGATTTTCTCCATATATGTATTCAGAGTGCTTTTGTGATGAGTCACCCAATCTATATCCACCACCAGAAAATGACTGGAAAAAAATACAAATAAAAGCTTATAAAATAATTATCTAAAACAGTTTATTAAAATTCTTACCTAGGCACAAAAAAAAAAAAAAAAAAAAAAAAAAAAAAAAAAAAAAAAAAAAGAAGAGAAAAAAGCCATCTACAAGCTTGCTTCTGTGATAAAAAGCAAGTACTGTTCTATCATGTATTTTCTAAGTGGAAAATTATATCTAGCAGCCACAGTCAAACTAAAAAAGCTTTGTGACACATTTCATCTTCTGTACTGTACACTTTTTCAAACATAAGAATGATAGAATACTTCAGGTTGGGAGAGACCTTTAAAGGTAACAAACTTGAATGTTTCCAGGAATGGGGTATGCATTGCCACCCTGAGCAACCTGTTCCAGTGTCTTACCAGACGTACTGTAAAAAATGTCTCCCTTATACCTAGTGTGAATCTACCCTCTTTTAGTTTAAAACCTTTACCCCTTGTTCTGCCAAAACAGGGCCCACTAAAAAGTCTATCCCCACCTTTCTTTAGGCTCCCTTTAAGTACTAGAAGGCTGCAATAAGGTCTTCTCAGATCCTTGTCTTCTCCAGGCTGAAAAATCCCAACTCTCTTAGCCTTTCCTCATAGGAGAGATGCTCCATCCCTCTGATTATTTTTGCGGCTTTCCTCTGGACTCGCTCTGACAGCTTCCTTCTTGTCCTTCTTGTGCTGTGGATCCCAGAGCTGGATGAATCACTCCAGGTGTGCTCTCACCAGAGTGGAGTGGAAGAGCAGCATTCCCTTCCTCACCCTGGTGCCCATGCTTCTTGTGATGCAGCCCAGGACATGTTTGGCTCTCTGGGCTATAACTGCGCATTGCTGGGTCATTTCCAGCTTTTCACTATCCCCATGTCCTTCCCCAGAATTGCTCTCAATCTTTTCATCCTCCAGCCTGATACTGGGGGTTGCCCTTATGCAGATGCAGAATCCTGCATGTGGCATCGTTGACCTCATGAGGCTCCCATGAGCCCATTTCTTTCATCCCTCTGGATGGCATCCAAGACCTCAGGCACTTCAACTGCAATACTCAGCCTGGTGTCACCTGCAGGCTTGCTGAGGGTGCACTTGACCCCACTGTCTGTGTTACTGTTACAGACACTGAACAGCACTGGTCCCTCTACAGATACCTTGTCATCAACCTGCATCTGGACACTGAACTGTTGACCACAACTCTCTAGGAGCAATTCTATAAGTAAGATTTGGGATGCAAATTTAGTCTGGTTTCTTATTTAATCAATTGTAATTAAAAACAAAGCATATAATTTCAGTCCCTGATGATTTCTAATTATTCCCTATGAAATAGTGAGGTTCTTTCTCTTTATTTTCTAGAGCAAGCTGTTTGAAAACAGACAATATAAAACTGTTTTGAACAAATCTGCTATTTGTAAATCACAGAAAGAGGCACATGCTCTCCTGTGGTTTGATGAATTTCAGAGACACAAATGTAAAGAGAGATCAACACATTTCTTAACTTTTACCTTGGCTTTACTGAAATCACCAGATGCTCTTGAGGCTTCATCTAATGGGACAGCCCCATGTTCTTTTGCTTCCTTGAAGAGCTCAGCAACAATTTTACTCGGATTATTAGAAGCCCCAGAAATCTGTAATCCTCTATATTCTGAGTCACCTGAATAAAATCTTTAGAATAGTAATGCAAATAAGCAACAATGCTTTAAATAACAAGCACAATTTTTCTCTTTCCATCAAAAGAAAAAAAAATTAACAAAGAGGCAAAAAAAATTAACAAAGAGACAAAACCTTTTCATTCTGATAAATGTTTCACCTGGTTCCAACCTTCTCAATAATCCCAGCAGCACTATACTAAAGACACTTGACTAACAAATTACCAAAGTGCCTTCTGGAACAGATGCCAAAGATCAGAGGGCAAGCCATAAGTTTTAAGTGAACACAGTCCTGATGGAGCTGGGCATCTTATATGACTGTCACCCACTCCCAGAAAGATGGATTTCCTCAGAGGTTTTCTGTGCATGGGACTGTGCCTGGACTGGATAGAATATAAAGTCACAGCTAACACCACCTTAGCAGAATGAATATAAAACTGTTCAGGTTTTCCAGGTACAGTTGCCACAATTTGTTTTTTTTAATTCAAAGATCTAGCATACTTCCATTCCTAACAGTATCAGAAACGGAAATTTTTAAATAAATATAATTACCTTTCAAGGCATTTTAAAACCTGCAGAAACTGTTGTGAAAGCTAGTTTGTGGGTTCTTTTTCCTTCACAGCACCATTACTAGCTCTTGAAGACAAAATGCTAAACTACAAATAATCCTGTTCAAAACTGTATCTGTTTGATGACGAAGATCAAGATATTCCTTTGAGAATTATCTTGAGAAAGGCACTACAATCTCTAAATATCATTGGAATAGATGCTGTAAAAAAAATCTGTAAATAAATCAAAATCTGGCAAACCTGATTTTTTTGCCTTTGATTACAGGAAGCATTAATAACTAATAACTGCTTTCCACTTTCCTCAACTTTTACATTTAACCATTTGGGGTAAGGCAAATCAATTAATCCATGTGAAACTGTCTCTCAGACCAATGCCTTCACAATGTGTTGATTCCATCATATTTTACAATTACCAGAAGAGAATATTTGGTATGAGGGTACTTTACAATAACACTGTTTTTATAATGCCACATAATTGTCAATCCTTGAGTAACATGTCTCCCTTGTACATAAATCAGTATTCATTACCCCAACTATCATTCACATGGAAAATCTTTAATTATTAGATTTAAAAGAATGATAGTGGTAAGGATATGAAATACGAATTCTTATCAGAATTTGTATTCAAGAAAGAAAGAAAGTACTCAACTATTTGAGCAATAGATACACAGAACAATTCAGTATATTCAGAAAGACAAAAAAGTTCTTGAGTACAAGTGTAAGTTACGACCTTTACAACCATTCAGGTTAAGGCATCTACAGGTCCTACATCGCTCCAGCCAGATTCTGATAAATATAATTTTACAACAGTGTTCAGCTAACACTGTAGTAAGTCCCCTAGCTCTCTGCAGGACAGACCTAGCTCACATGCATTTTGAAAGAACATGAGGGAGCAAAGTGTGAACGTGACACAAACCCCAATTACTTTCACAATTGTTAAATTATTTTTTTGTTTTGTTTTGAAAATACCTTTGGTTTTCTTTGTCATCACTCATGCTTCTCTCTGGTTTTCTCAACCTTTTAAGAGAATCCAGTTTAAGACTGCCAAGAGAATAAAAGAAAACATTTGACGATGACTGGCACATAAACTTCATATTTAACTGCTGAGACTACTTCTTTTTCAAAAACTAAGAATATTGAGTTGTGTTTTCTGGTTTTGGGGGTTTTATTTGGTGGCTTGGTGTTTTGGGTTTGTTTTGGTTTAGGTTTGTTTTGCCAAAGTACACAGCCATGAATGCTTCTCAACAAACACGGAGGAAAGCACACAAATATGGCAGAGTCATTTTGCATGAACGGTTGGACTGGATGGCCACTATAGGTCTATTCCAGCTGAATTATTTTTTTCTAGCATAGAAGAGCAGCACTGTTTCCATGCAATTAATGCACTGTTCTCATCTGAGAGTAAACTGAAGTCTACTAATTCATCTCTTCCTTCTCACACAGATTCCAGTACGAATGAGAGCAAGTAACAAGTATTTGCCAACCATCACACTGAAGTATTTGAGATACAGTACTGCAGCATCTCCTTTGCTTGGGAGTGGGAAGTTATAACTTCATGAGATGTATTGGCAAATGAAGCTGTCTGCTTTATTTGTTTGTAAACTTAGTTCTATGTAGCTGGTTAGTCAGCTTAGGTGGGTTCACCAAAAGAAACAAAAAAACCCTCAAAACCCCCTATACTTCCAAGTGTCACATACTCTGCTAAAGTCTCTCTTCCTGAAGAGATTTCTGCATTTACAGTGAACTTGAAGCATAACTGGTGACTAAGATCTTTTCTGTTGCTTGACGTCCTTTAACACTGAGATCCACACTGGCAGCAGTGATTCAAAAACAAGCCACATACAAGGCTTGTTATGGCATCACTGTCAGTGGTTTTAGAAATACTTATCTTCTTTAAATTATTTTTTTTAATTAATTAAAAACTAGCAAGATACTTTTATAAAAACCATCCAGGACTATGTTGAATCTTCAAATGTTATGTGAACAGCAAACACTGCAGTTTAGTAGTGTTTTAGGAAAAGCTGGACTGAAATATAGATATGCATCTTTCCTTCCACCTGCCCAACCCAGACAAATTCATTAAGAAGCCCGTCTTATTTCTGTCACCCCACAGGAATCTACTAATAACTTTTAGAATCACTGTTTGTCTCATCAGGCACTGCCATAAATACAACACTGAAAGCAGTTCACTTGCCAAGTTTCACACAAGCTGCTAGTTTACTGAATTTTGAAGAAACAAAGAACTGCAATAATTTTCTGATACAGCAAATTTCCTAAATATGTCTGTGTAAAAAAAGAGCAACACAGCATTTTGCTTATAGCATCTCACATGAAATGGGTTTAAAGTGTTTTGGAATACCTGGAATACCAATTGGTAAAAATGCTCCTAAATAAATTTTAAAAGCATTCTGAGAAGACAGACAATGCCTTATTGCAGGGATTCACAATTTTTGTTTATGAATTGCCATAGATTGCTTTTAATACAAGGAGGGATCAAGCAGGAATGACGAAGTTTTGTGAGCTAATAAGACACCTATCCATGCATTTCTGAAAAAAAACCCCACATCTTACCTCTGTGATACCTTTGGGGTACTGATCTTTGTAGCTGTTGGCTTGTCAGAACACAATGACTGTCTTTTAGCTTCATCTTCATATAACTCTGCCAAGGCCAGCTGTAGGAAACAAAACTCTTTTTTTGTAAGTCTATAACTCAAGAACTACATCTAGAATAGAAATAAGACAAAAATTAATGTGAAATATGCATCTGTCCAGAAGAGTAGAAATATCAACATGAGGAGCCCCAGCTAAAATTCAACTTCCCTTGTGCTTTATTAAAAAAAAACCAAACTGCACAATGCTTAAATGCCATTATGACTTGGAACTTGCACTTTGCTATCCTTTAGTTTCTACTGCTTCACCAGCTACATAAAATCTGTATTAGGTTCAGTCACGAGAGTAAATACACAAAGAGATATTAAGCATCAGTTCATTAATGGTAACAAATTGAAATAAAGCAGCAACCTAACCCTCTGACAGAAGCAAACAATAAATTTTACAAACATTTGACAGAGAAATGTAAAAAACATAATTCAAATAAGCTTGTACTGAGATGAAGAACAAATTCAGCCCTGATGGATTGAATTCAAGGCATCACTCCACAAAAACTTACACAAACCCCAATAACTTTTTCCCAAGGATTCCCAAAATACTGCCATATCACTGGCAAGCTCACTCTTAGAAATGTATGTAAGGGACCTGCAATGTCATTTCAGCAATCTTTCTTTTGTCCTGAATAAGAGTCTATTTTGTCAAATCATCCTTAGCTTTGTCCCCAAACCAGTCTGCTCACACTATGTGACTGACATTCATATACACCAGAAAAGGTACTAGGCTACAATTTCATTATGTTTTTATGCAGAGGGGATACACATTAAAATGAAATGAAACATCATCTGTCCTTGAAAACACATTGCTACAAACACAGGGTATTAATCCCATTTTTTTGTTGTTGTTTTTGTAATATTATGAGGTATTTTTTGCAAGGGAAAAATAAATATGAGGAATTATATTCATCAGGAAAATTAAATTGAGAAAAGAGAGCCCAAAAAAATCTGCTGAAGGCCTCTATTCCATCTGAGAATAGAAGAAAATTCCTTTCAGATACGTAAAGCTGATGGGTAAATCATAGACAACATACCCTATACCATCCCTGATCTAAGGACTGAGGGATGCTGAGAGAGCACAGAAGGGCACGGCCAGGCTTCTGTGCTTTCCTCATGCCCCATCTCATATTGTGGCACAGACCCAGGAGGGTACTTCCTTGGCGTTTAACACTTTATCAATAAGTATCTAGTCAGAATGCCAGCCTGCTTCAGCTGCCTAAACCTACCAACCAAAAGTGTTGACACAGACTTTGTTACTGTTACATATTGTAGCAAAAAAGCAATCCGGAGAATAACACAACAGTAACACTGCAGAGGAGAAGGCTCCAGAGGGATCTCTCTGGGGTCTTTTGTACTTAGAGGGGGTTTAGAAAAAAACAGGGAGAGCAACATTTTACATGGGCAGATAGCGATAGGACAAGGCAGAATGGTTTTAAACTACAAGAGGAGATTTTTAGATTAGATTTTAGGAAGAAATTCTTTATTCAGAGGGTAGTGAGGCATAAGAAAACATTTCCCAGAGAAGCTGTGGATGCCCCATCCCTGGGAGTGTTCAAGGCCAGGTTGGATGGGGCTCTGAGCAAGCTGGTCCAGTGAAAGGTGTCCCTGCCCATTGCATTGGGGCTGGAACCAGATGATCTTTAAGAACCTTCCCAACTCTAAGCATCCTATGATTGCAGCAAAATTAATCTTAAGAGGAACCTATGAAAATTCCAAATAGTAATCATGAAAAAAACTATACCCATCTTTTTCTGTCAATTATGTGTAATTAAATAGAACAGAGACACTTTCAGTTACTAAGTTTCATCTGTTTTCCAATCAATTTCTTGCTAAAGGATTTTGAACCTTCATAAACTGTCAAATCGCACACACAAAAAAAAAAAAAAAAAAAAAGAATACTGCTAAGAGGGTTTGTGATTAAGCATTTAAGTACTGATGCTGAACTACATTTGTTATCACACTCTACTTTTCCCACTTAGACCTGGGAAAAGATCTTGTCCTTAGTTTTACACCACATCTGCAGAGACTGACATTCTCATACGGGACAAGACATTCCTATAAAATAATCAGAAAATGCAATGGCACTTCAATAACTTCAAGGACAGTTAAAACCCAGCTATGAAGTGTCGGGAGAGCCCTTCCCGTTCCCTGTAGAACTGAGCACACACCGTTTACTAAAGGGCCTAGTTCTCTTCCAGAGGCGTCCTCCCCTTCCCAGCCCCAAAAGGGCGTGGGAGCTAAAGGAAGAAAGGCCGAGTGGGCTCAGAGGGCACATCGGGGCAGCCCCGCCGGGGGTCCCGCACACCGCCCGCTCCCCTCAGCGCCGGCCCGAGGGAAGGCCTGGGGCGGCCCCAAGACGACGCGGCGCTCCGCCCGGCCCGGCCCCACCCCGCCCCCAGGAGAGGAAGGGGCACCTCCGCCCTCTCACCTGCAAATCCCGGGCGCTGGGCGGGCGGCCGCTGCTCCGGGGCTGCCGATCCCTGCGGCCGGCGGCGGCCGGAGCGGCGGGCACATCCCCGTCCGGCTGCGCGGGCGCTGCCCCGCCGTCCGCCATCTTGTGGGGG